GAGTTGACAAATTGCAGTGCTCGCAAATTACTTGATTAGTAAAAGCACGTGGCAACATCGCACCCGACTGGCAGACAGACGTCCCACTTGCAGGCCTCTGCTGCTGCGGCTGCTACAGCATTCACCTAGTGCTGCACAGGGATAGCTGCCAGCAGGGGTCCCCTAGGCTAGACTACACGGCAACATCGCCCTCTACCAGCAGACTGATGGGCATTTACAGGCCAGCTGCCGAGCCGCCTCGTGCCGCATAGAGGCAGCTGCCACTGGGGGTCACCTGGGCTCGACGTCTTCTGGAGACATTGAAGCCCGCGCTCTATAAACACGAATCCTTGTTCAGGCACATTTCGCTGTAAGATCCGATTTCATATATTTATTTCTGCAATTTGGTCACGTGTGTTGCCTTCCTGACGAAGGCAGCGTCGACACCAATTGATTTACCTACCCAGTACAACGTCGCATATCCGACCGGCTGGGAACCCAGGTATTGTATAGGCGGATATGTGAAAAAGTCGGATGAGTGAATACTTATAGAAAATGACAATGACACCCATGCGCACGTGGGTGTAGTGTCGTAATTGGGCGCAGGCGGTTACCTGGTCAGGGCGGACATGTCACGGTCAGACATGCGACGTTGTGCCGTGTCCACAACTTAACGGAACGGGTCTCAGAGTACGTCCCCCGCGGAGACCGAGCGATGAATCATCTTCGTGGCTATCGAGGTGCACGGTGGACTATTGTTATTTTTATCACATCATTGCGTGGTTTGGGAGGGGAGGCCTTCATCCAGCAGTGGATTGATCATGGCCATTGACGATGACGACCGAACACAGATCACAATCACAGCGAATAGTAATGCCCTGCTGGCGGTGTCACAAAGTGGCCTGGCCACGATATTCCGAGCTCGCTCAAGACAATTCATTTTAAAGAGGCGTGGGGGGGGGATCGGGGGAGGGAGCAGGCCGACAGCTGCCACGCCGATAAGCATGTACAACACGCAGTCCTCACACGCATCGTCGGCCCACTCGGCGCATTAGCATATCAAAGAGGCACAGCCTGAGAATGTCGACTTGCGTTCCCCCAACCCCCCTGCGCCCCCTCCCCCCACCCAGTCCCCAGCCCCCCCCTCCCTTCCCACGGCCACCACCGCCGCACAATCTCGGGCAACCCACCGAGACAACCGGAACGCGCTTTGCAAAGCGGCGGAGGCCAAACTCGCCACCCAATTATCAGCGACGGCGCAAAGAACGGACAACGCCGATGTTCGTGCCACCCCGCATGGCAATGAGCGGGCAGCAGTGGCGGTGAGGGGGGGGGCATGCGCAAGCCAAGATACAGCTCAGAGACCCAAGTAGCTCAAGCAAGAGTGCCCCCCCCCCCCCGCCATAGTCGTGGAAACATACGGGGGTGACAAGTCAAATATCAGCTCGAATTCGAATCCCAGAGGACGTAATAAGATATTCAATCTGAAGAGCCAATTCATCTCTCTCGTCGCCCAACTAAAGCTTGTTGGCGTTCGTCTGCATCTCTCGTGTCACCGCATCTCTCGCGCGTCTTCTCTTCTCACCGCTTAGCACCTCGCTAGGACTGTCTACTATATTTGTATGCGGTCGTCGAAAGGGCCGGGGGAGGTGGTGGTGTTTGGTGGGGGGGGGGATCCCCAATTTTATTCCCGCCGCGGAGCGAGCGAGCGAGGGGAGTGAATCGAGGCGGAAGTCTCGAGACGCAGACGCGGCGGCGGTCTCGCCGGCAAAATCTGGCGTCATGTTGCATCGGCGCATACGATTTACATCGCATTAGCCGCATTTAAATAAAATGATAATGACCTCTCTTTTGAAATTCCAAATTGGCCGCACAATTGAGCGCATCTCTTTTGGAAAGTAATCCATTTAGGAGATGTTTTTTGAGGTGGATAAGCGCCAGTTTGCTTGCAGAAGCACTTGATCTGTTCTCGGCATATCATCGCAGATGTGCAGGGCTATTACAAACGGATCCGACGTTAAGTGGCCTTGAGAGAAATGCATGATTCAGATCAAAATAAACATTTGAAATCGGTGCGCTTATATAACAATCATAATAATCATAATTATAATTATTGATTATTACACTGCTGGATGAAGGTCTCCCCCACGATCTATCGATCATGGGGAGTGTTTGACCATACTTCACCACACTGGTCAGTGCAGATCGGTGCAGAAGGTGGGGGGACTGGATTTGTTCAATCTTAGCTATGGTGGTGGTGGGTCACTGGCTTCATAGCAAAGTGCGCTAACCACTGCACCGCCACTCCATTTCGTAGACGGAACATTCCATTGTAATGCGCATCGAGGTATTAGGTGTCTGTTAGAAATGAAATCTTTTTTCGGAGTAAAGTCAAACAGACAATTTAAATAAAGGTAAGTGCAGGGTTTGATTGGTCACCGAATATTTTCCAGATTGTTGTTCAGACTGGAATGAGGCACATGACTCATTCCCCGTGACTCATTCCCCGTGACTCATTCCAGCACGTGCCGAGAGGCATACTGGAAGTGGTGTGCCGGGTGTTGATTTGTGTTTGGCAGTCATTTGACCCGGACAGTCCTTGTTGGATTATCCAGCAGCGCTCTTCACTCATGTGCAGAGGGGGGAGGCCACTTTCGCCGATAAGACATCACCAGCGTGAGGGCCGCCACACATTTGAAACCATTGGGCGTTTGACAACAGCACGATGACGATGGGGGGCATTCTCACTTTGGGCCGCACTAAAGACCAGTCGTGGCCCACAGGCCTCGCAATGAGAAACACTGGATCCATCCCTACTCAAGTGCATCCTATAATCCCCGGTACGCACTCGGAACACCCACTCCTCCATAGCCGAGAGAACTTCCCCGTCGCGTTCGTGGCGACGTCAATCCACCCAAACTGGCGGCGTGAGATCCGCGACGTCGCGCGCCACCGAGCGTCTCCACGACGTGCGCCGTGCAGAGCGACAACACCACCCTCGATGCGCTCCGCACGCAAAGGGGAACACATTTGGCTGCGAGATCTAAACCGGGCTGTGCTGGGACAGTGTCCTTAATTGGCACACCTGCCAATACAGGCGGGAGCAGCGTGCAAGCTTCGTGCCCCGAACCGGTGACCTCTGAATGCAGTGACAATGCGCGGCCATTTATCATCTCCGCGGGAGCCTCTCGCGGGTTCTAAGGGGCGACAGAGACGTTCTCGCCGGCGTCACGTTTGTCGATCCGTCCGTGCGCGCCGCCTGCCCCGCCTGCCCCGCCCTCCCCATCGCCTGGCGCCCACCCAGCGACCCGTGCACGCGGCAGATGCCCGGCACGGCCCGGCGCCTGCCAGCTGTGGCGGGGGCGTCGAGGCCGACGCGGCCGTTTTGAGATTCGGTCACAACAAAAAATATTCGCAACAAAATCCAACCACATCGCCACCACTGCCACTGCGAGGGAAATCCTTATCCACCCACCACCCTTCTCCACTAACCATCTTTCTCCACCTACCACCCACCACCTACCACCCATCTCCACCTACCACCTTTCACCTATCACCTACCACTGACCATCCTTCTCCACCTACCACCCTTATCCAAGGGTTGGTGGATCATCGTTCAGACGTGTGAAACTGCAAGGTGGCCAGGAAATGGTTAAACATACCAAGGAATTCGTTTGTCATCAAATATATATTTTGTTTTGCCAGGTCGCTGGTCGACAGAGAGGAGGTGGCACGTGACCAGTAGTCGCCGCAGCCATAGCGAGAGGCAATGTTGTCAGTCGACGAAGCGGACAGAGGTGGATAAACTCAATCCCTGTGTAGTACAGAAAGTAGGTTCGTGAAATTGAGTTGTGCGGGACCTTTAAGTACCACTCCCCTCATACGTGCTGATATTCTCTATGGATTTTCTTTGGATTTTTCCAGTTTCCTTCCACAGAGAAAACACTCCTTGAAAGCATAGTTGGTCAAAGAGCCCAATGCAGGACCCTCATAAAAAAATAAGTGGAGACTCTGCGAAGCTTCCCAGGACAAATAAAGGGCGTTTAATACAACTACAAACTACGTTTTATTGTCTTCTTGGTTCTTTCGGTAAAGTCTTTCCGACAGACCTGTTCTTCACCTGAGGACGGCTGCTTGCGTTGTGGCCGAAACGGCGTGAGAATTATTTTATTTTATTATGTTTAATTTTTATTATTTTATTATTTCCCTTCTACGTGACTTTACCAAAAGAACCAATAAGATGAATCCCTGCAGTCACGAAAGCTTTAAATCGATACTTTTCATTAACCAGGTAAGGCCCACTGAGCCTTGTAGCTCTTTTTCAGAAGCGACCTGGCCACAAAGAGACAGCTCAACGAAGAGGCTTATCGTGTGGAAATGTATTGCAGCCAAATACTCTAAACGCATGTTTTTTAATGTGAAGGCAAAAACCAGAGGACCAGGAGAAAAATCGACGTGACCACGAGGAGAGAGATATGGCAAACTCTAAATATACAGGTGTCAGGGTCGGGATCGGGATCGAACCCACACCCTCCTGTATACCAGGCGAGGTAGTTAACATCTCCGAGCCACCGTGGCGTCAACACAGATCCCACGAGCTGCTCCATGAGGTCCACGTCCGCAGCAAGAGGAGCATTTGTCACTTGGAGGTGTCAAGTTAGGAGAGAATTTGTGAATGCTGTATTCATGGTGCACAGAGCATGGGGAGTTGCTTGTTGGGAATGACCGAGACACAGAAAGAGGACTGCACAGATGATGGGTCTTGACGGTTTAACAATCTTCGTCTCAGCTTTCGTCATCATTACCACAAACCTTCCTTTAACACGCGAGACACCAACCCAAACGGCATGGGCACGCGAGACCCAGACCACAGACCCCAGAGGCCTCATCCCAGGAGTGGCCTCTCCTCCTGCACGGGAGAACAGCAGGACTCACGCACGCCCCGCCAGCAACGCGCACGCAGACGGACACGCGCACGCACGGACTCACGCACGCACGGACACACACCCACACCCTCTCACCTTCTTCTTGGAGAACCTCTCACTCTGCCGGGCCACTTGAGCTTTTCCGTGCGTCTCGCCAGGCCTTATGGTTATCCTGATGGCCGGCTGGGCGGCGACGGCGGTAGTGGCGTCGGTGGTGGCGGTGGGGCGCAGTCCATTCAATTCCGTCTGCTGCTGCTGCTGCTGCTGCCGCTTGGCACCACGCCGCATGCTCTGTATCTTGAGCTTCAGTCCACCCTCCGCAAAGTTTGTCTCAGTGATGGAGAACTCCCGGTCGTGGTCGCACGAGACGGCGGCGGCGTCGCCATGCGCTCGCGCCCTCACCGCGGCGCTGCTCGGCTGCTCGTGCGACCGAACGGTGCCCGGGTCCGGCGTCGGCAGCATCCTGCGCATCGTGGAGGTTTTTGGCGGCTCGGCAGCGGCAGAACTTGGCTCACCGACGGAGCGACCTCCTCCCGAGCCGCATCGGCCCACGATTCCTTCGGACGAATCAACGCCGCAGCTCAATTGTGGTGGCTCAAGGGATGGCAGGTCGATCGATTAAACGCGGCAGCTTCATAACTGTAGCTCCCTCGCCTGCATTTTCATATATAAATATAATATAGGTTAATCCTCTTCAACGGAAATCCACCGTCCCTCAAATGTTCCCCGGAACGCCGAGACGAAGCAGGATCGAAAGCCTCGGGACGCAGCCGATGATCAGGCCGCGAAGGCACCGCCGTTCATCTCTGCGAAGGCACCACGAGAATGCGAGACGTCGTTATCCGCAGGTAAACGTACACGGGCGCCTCCGCGTACAGGCCTTCATTTCGCCATGATCATCAAACACAACCGCTCCTGTGGATGCTGGAAATGCAGTGCACATGTGTCAATATCATTTAAATACTTGAAAATGTTGTGTTGTAGCGTAGTTGGTGTAGGCCCCGGGGTTCCTGGTCTCCAGTGCAGTTGCACCGCCTGCACACCTGATAGCTCCACCACTTCAGGTGGAAACCGTGCCAAAATTAGCGCCTAATAAGTCACTTATTTACTCGGGAAAGTCTCAATACTCTAAACTCTTTTTCAGGGTGTGCCCTGAAATTGGGAAGTTTGACCCGTTCCGGTCGCGAGTGTTTAACACGAGGGACCAAATTCGGAATCCCGGAGAAAGCCGCAGCGTACAAGGGGAATCATCTCACAGATGGCTCGCGGGATGACGCAGAGCTCCCAATCTTCAAACCATGAGTTCAAAACCCAACCGGCATCAACTCGGCCTAACATCATCATCCCTTTGAGGTTGGTTAAACATGAACCACAACCATGAGACTCCAGCGCTTGGTAATGTGTCAGTTATTGATCTCTGGATATATTGGATCCTACCATGGGAATGTGGAATGTCCACCAATGGGTCAGCGCTGTTAGATACAGATGCATATCACCAAAGTTTCGTTCGGGCATAGCACGAATGTGACATTATACTTTGCAATCATATCGATTCATCATGACCATCAACAACAAGAGTCTTGACCACTCCACTGCTGGATGACAACCTCCACAAGCTGCAATATTGTATGATTATTATTCTCAAATAACCAATAACCAATCAGGTCCTAAGAAAATAAATCCCTGCCATGAACATATGTAAAAACACACATCACGTGGTTTATGATATAGATATATGTATATCATAAATCACGTTGTTTTTGATGCATAGTCACCTCCAATCAAGTCAACATAAATCTGCCCTAGCTCGTTGAAACTCGGAAGCTAAGCAGGCATTACACGAGCCTGGCTAGTGCTGGGATGAGTGACCACCAGGGCTTGCCAGGTGTTGTCGGTGTGGCCAGTAGACGACAGCGATGAGTGTTACCTCGTTGTACAGAGCACCGGTGCTGCGCTGGGATTTCTCCTGCTACGGAAGTTTCTGTGCCACACGAAGAAGACAAACTCCCATGATGAATGGAATCAATGGCCAAACTCCAAATGTAGCAGAACCCTCCTAAAGTCGATGCGAATCCTTCCTCAATCCATGAGCTGACACTTATTGTTAAGATGATGATGATGGTATTCTTGTTAAGCGTGTGTTTGCGTGGGCCATCTCAAATTAAAAATCCGAATTATATCATCCACTACAGTTGCACAAACTACGGAATGGTGATCGGAGAACATCTTTATAAAAACACTTTAAGAATGTAGCATCTGCGGTGGTCCCAGTTTTAGTGACGTATTGTTATCACCAAGGATTATTTGTGTTATTTGTGCCGTGCCTCCGGTGTTTATTGTTTTGGTTCTGCATTAATATCCCTCCACGTGGAACTGCCACTGACTACTAATGTGCTCCCCTCCCACAGCCAAGGCACGCACCAGCATCAACACGAGCCTATAGCATTTTCAAATACAACCACGAGTCATCCCACGCGTGAATACAGCACGAACCCCAGCTAATATACATTGTATAATCACCAGCCATGGTCGATCCACTGCTGGATGAACATCTTCCATAATTCGCCGGCATCCATCGCAACCCTACGAACTCTGCACGGAAGCCCTCTGCTCGCAGCTAGCAGAGCTCGACATTTAGCTACTGAAGGCATTTCAATTCGCCACAATAATAATCCACCTAGCACCTGCACTAGAGCTGAGCTGATTGCATCGCTCCATCTCCCACGGTGACAACCTCTCGGACGCGTTCCATCCCTTGGCTGCCACTCCGTTATTTTCCTCGACCATCGGTCCCTTTCTGTCCGTGGCGCGTCCTGCAAAAAGCTCCACGCTCCCACTTCCCTCCACAGTTTGGATGATGTCATTAAACTTGCGTGCGCGTGTTCTCTAATCCACGTGGTTGCCTCCTCCATGCAGCACTTCCACATCCCGCATACAGTCGAGAATTTACACAGTACTGTGCTGCATTCAACTCATACACTGCTCTGTCTACACGTGTTCGTATTCGTACTCCGGATGGTCGTAAGCTCATTTACACATGAACAATTGCAACAATGCAAATTTAGCAATAAGCCGTGTAGATTCAGCATACATTCACATCATTATTTACTTATATATGCCTATGCATACATATTTATATTGCTAGATATACACACACAAATATCGCTCTATAGCCTACACAAACTGTTGGTGCAAGTGTTGTTAGCGAGCACCTATTAAGGCTGGCACGACGCACCATGGGGGGTGGTTGTGGCCAGAAACCACAAGGCATGTCCGCCTTTGTCTCCCCAGGCTACCGTTTTGTTTTTGACACACGGCACCAGGTGCTCATTTAAGGCTGAGTCGGCCTAGGAGGATGGGCTGGGACCACAGGCACCACGCGGCCCGCTGCAGGTCGGCCGTGTGCGGCTGCTGCCACTTGACGTGGGATCGCTGGGATCTCTGGGATCGCTGGGACCGCTGGGATCGTTGGGATCGCTGGGATCTCTGGGATCGCTGGGATCGCTGGGATCGCTGGGACCGCTGGGACCGCTGAGATCGCTGGGATCTCTGGGATCGCTGGGACCGCTGGGATCGTTGGGATCGCTGGGACCGCTGGGACCGCTGGGATCGCTGGGATCTCTGGGATCGCTGGGATCGCTGGGACCGCTGGGATCTCTGGGATCGCTGGGACAGCTGGGATCGTTGGGATCGCTGGGATCGCTGGGATCGCTGGGACCGCTGAGATCGCTGGGACCGCTGGGATCTCTGGGATCGCTGGGATCTCTGGGATCGTTGGGATCACTGAGATCGCTGGGACCGCTGGGACCGCTGGGATCGCTGGGATCTCTGGGATCGTTGGGATCGCTGAGATCGTTGGGATCGCTGAGATCGCTGGGACCGCTGAGATCGCTGGGATCTCTGGGATCGTTGGGATCGCTGAGATCGTTGGGATCGCTGGGATCGCTGGGATCGTTGGGATCGCTGAGATCGCTAGGATCGTTGGGATCGCTGAGATCGCTGGGATCGTTGGGATCGCTGAGATCGCTGGGATCGTTGGGATCGCTGGGATCGCTGGGATCGTTGGGATCGCTGAGATCGCTGAGATCGCTGGGATCGCTGGGATTGCTGGGATCGCTGGGACCGCTGGGATCTCTGGGATCGTTGGGACCGCTGAGATCGCTGGGACCGCTGGGATCGCTGGAATCTCTGGGATCGTTGGGACCACTGAGATCTCTGGGACCGCTGGGATCGCTGGGACCGCTGAGATCGCTGGGACCGCTGGGATCGTTGGGATCTCTGGGATCTCTGGGACCACTGAGATCTCTGGGATCGTTGGGATCGCTGGGACCGCTGGGATCGCTGGGACCGCTGAGACCGCTGGGGTCGCTGGGACCGCTGGGATCGCTGGGACCGCTGGGATCGCTGGGATCTCTGGGATCGCTGGGACCGCTGGGATCGCTGGGATCTCTGGGATCGCTGGGACCGCTGAGATCGCTGGGACCGCTGAGATCGCTGGGACCGCTGGGACCGCTGGGACCGCTGGGATCGCTGAGATCTCTGGGATCGTTGGGATCGCTGAGATCGCTGGGACCGCTGAGATCGTTGGGACCGCTGGGACCGCTGGGACCGCTGGGATCGCTGGGACCGCTGGGATCGCTGGGATCGTTGGGATCGCTGAGATCGCTAGGACCGCTGAGATCGCTGGGACCGCTGAGACCGCTGGGACCGCTGGGATCGCTGGGACCGCTGGGATCGCTGGGATCGTTGGGATCGCTGAGATCGCTGGGACCGCTGGGATCTTTGGGACCGCTGGGACCGCTGGGATCGCTGGGAGCGCTGGGATCGCTGGGATCGTTGAGATCGCTGAGATCGCTCGGACCGCTGGGATCGCTGGGATCGCTGGGATCGCTGGGATCGCTGGGACCGCTGGGATCGCTGGGATCATTGGGATCGCTGGGATCGCTGAGATCGCTGGGACTGCTGGGATCTCTGGGATCGTTGGGATCGCTGGGATCGTTGGGATCGCTGGGATCTCTGGGATCGCTGGGACTGCTGGGATCGCTGGGATCGCTGAGATCGCTGGGATCGCTGGGATCGCTGAGATCGCTGGGATCGCTGGGATCTCTGGGATCGTTGGGATCGCTGGGATCGTTGGGATCGCTGGGATCGCTGGGATCGCTGGGATCGTTGGGATCGCTGAGATCGCTGGGATCGTTGGGATCGCTGGGATCGCTGGGATCGTTGGGATCGCTGGGATCGCTGGGATCGCTGGGATCACGGCGAGCCCAGCGATTCCAGCGAGCGCACCACCGGCCGCGCCACCGCCGCGCATGACATCGATCATCCACTCGCCACGTGTCCAGGACACGCAAGCAACGCGACGGGGAGGCCGCACGGCGCTCAGCACCATCAGCCGTGCAAGCGACGGCAGAGCGACATCTCTCACATTCGCGTGCAAACTCATTCTCTTGCTTTTTGTTTTTAATTTGTTCGTCAAAAAAACCGACAAGCTTCTTATTTCAGTACGATACAAACATCTCCCTGGTATCCACCAAGCGCGGCGGTGCGTGCGAGGGTGTAGTTGCTACACGTGTGTAGTTGTTTACATGTGTTGTGACATGTGTGCGCGAAGTATGTAACGTGCGCGCGTGCGTTGCGGACGGGAGCGGTGGCGCAGTGGTTAGCGCACTGCGCTACGACCCCGGCGTTCTCGAGTCCCGCTCGTGACCAATGATCTGTGCAGAGTATCGGGATCGGTCCTGGGGCTTCCCCTACGTCGACTCGGCCTTAAAACGAGTCCCTGCTGCTGTGGCGTGTGTGTGTGTGTGTAAACACCTGCACTGGAAAGACAAAGGCGGCCGGTCGTGGTGCTAATCAGCCGCACTCCCTAGGGCGCCGTGGTGGCCTCCGTCGGAGCTCGCTGTAAGCACTTGCGCCAACCGCCTGCGAAGGCTATAGGGGTGATCTTTGTGTTATCTTGAGACATGTCAAGCACATGTGTGCCGAGCGAAGTGCATGCTGAAGCCCATGTGAGAATACGATGCCTGTACACGGCGATTCGTGTGTATTACATGTAGTTAGCATGTACCATCTCACGTGTGTAACATGTGATCTATGTCACACACACACACAAGCTACGGAGCTGTGAGCGAGCGGCACATGCAGCTGCGCTGCTGCCGTGCGCGCTGCTGCAGTTGCCCGGTCGCAGATCCATCCCATGTGCCGTGTGCATCCTATCCTGTGGTTATGTACGCACATTTTTTTGTAGACTTGTGTGTGTACACGTGTGTGTGTGTACACGTGTGTGTGTACACGCGTGTGTGTGTGTGTAGTATATGTTGTGTATGTGCGCACGTGTTATACAATTTCCGAACGTGTACGTACACACAGTCGCGTGTGTGCAGTCTATGTTAAGTGCAGCATCTACGGACTGCAGCATACACTGCGCTGACACGCGTGTACACACACACACGTGTGTGTGTGTGTACACGTGTGTGTGTACACGTGTGTGTACACGTGTGTGTGTGTACACGTGTGTGTGTGTACACGTGTGTGTACACGTGTGTGTGTACACGTGTGTGTGTGTACACGTGTGTGTACACGTGTGTGTGTGTACACGTGTGTGTGTGTACACGTGTGTGTGTACACGTGTGTGTACACGTGTGTGTGTATACACGTGTGTGTACACGTGTGTGTGTGTGTACACGTGTGTGTGTGTACACGTATGTGTGTGTGTGTACACGTGTGTGTGTGTGTACACGTGTGTGTATGTGTACACGTGTGTGTGTGTGTACACGTGTGTGTGTGTAGTGGTGCAGTCCGCACGAACCTGCACGATGCTGGCTGTGCGCTGCCCGCTCTCTGCGCCGCTGTCACCCGCGAATGTGAACGGCGAGAGTGGCGAGAGTGGAGAGAGTGGTGAGGATGGTGAGAGTGGCGAGAGTGGTGAGAGTGGTGAGGATGGTGAGGATGGTGAGTGTGGTGAGAGTAGCGAGAGTGGCGAAGATGGTGAGAGTGGTGAGTGTGGTGAGAGTGGTGAGTGTGGTGAGGATGGTGAGAGTGGCGAGAGTGGTGAGGATGGTGAGAGTGGTGAGTGTGGTGAGGATGGTGAGAGTGGTGAGTGTGGTGAGAGTGGTGAGTGTGGTGAGAGTGGCGAGAGTGGTGAGGATGGTGCCGCTGACATCGCGCTGCCAGATGAGGACCCCCCCACCACTACAGCCCAAGACCCGTGCTTTGCGCATGCGCACTGCCAGCAACCGACGGATTTTTCGATGCTCCGGGATTTTTTTTTGTTTGCGAGGGATGAGGCTGAGAGAGGGTGGGTAATGGGGTTGGTGATGGGGGGAGTTATGGGGGGTGGTTAATGGGGTTGGGTGATGGGGGTGGGTGTGGTGGATGTGGTGGGTGGGGGTGATGGGGGACTGGGTGATGGGGGGTGGGTGATGGGGGGTGGGTGATGGGGGGGTGGGTAATGGGGGGGTGGGTAATGGGGGGGTGGGTGATGGGGGGGTGGGTGATGGGGGGGTGGGTAATGGGGGGTTGGGTGATGGGGGAGTGGGTGATGGGGGTGAGTGACGGGGTTGGGTGATGGAGGGGTGGGTGTGACGAGTGGGGTGTGATGGGGGTGGGTGATGGGGGGTGATGGTAGTGGTGTAGGGGTGATGCGTTTTGATAGTGGATGGTAGTGCCAGTAATGTGACAGTGGTGTTTGTGAGTGATAGACCCCTCTGAAGGAACATCTGCGCCGGTTTGAAACAATCAGACTGGCCCGCTTACGATCCATCCTGGAATTAACCAGACTGGGTCGTGTGAGGAACTCGCGCAGACCCTTGAAAGACCGACCAGGGCACAGTCCCATCGGTGAGCTCCTCCGACAGGCGAAGTTGCGTTGGCTGGACCACGCAGCCCACATGCCCAGCCACTGAGTGCCCAAGCACCTTCTGGTTGACCAGACAGGGGGGATGAACGGGCGCGGCACGGGCTAGAGAAGGGATTTGGAGCAAAGTGTGCTTGCCGACGACTGGTATCACTCGTGTCAAGATCGGCCTGTGTAGAGGAGGCTCGTGAAGGTCAACAATGGGCCGTTTGAGGAAGTTACCCTCCAAACACAGAGGGGGGAGGAGGAGGAATGACGCTCACAACAACGAGCGGAGTGCCGGGCGGCCAACACGAAGCAAGTTGGCACAGTGGGACGCATTGGTGATGCCTCTGCCAGTCATCTTTGACAGTCAACCTATAAGCACCTGGGTCTGTCCCGTATCTTCCTATCAACGAGCCTTCGACACTTCCTGTGGCCTCATAGTGCACCTAGCCTGGCACAAGCGCCTGGAGACGTGGCCGCCGCTGAGTGTCGAATGGCAGCTGTTGTTGGTGAGTGATGGTGATGGTGGTAATGGGTGATGGAGTGGTGGTCCGTGTTGTGGCTGATTTCCATGTTGGTGGATTAGGCGATGGTAGCTGTGATGGTAATGGGGCGAAGTGTGGTAGCGGTGTGTGAGGGTAATAATCTTGGTGTTGGCGGCTGGTGGTCGATGATAGTGATAACGATGGTGGTGGTAAGCTGTGGTGGTGGTGGTGGTTGTTGTGACAATGGTGGTGGGTGGTGGTGGTGGTAGCCTGTAAGTCCTGGTCGTGGTGGATGATGATGATCATGATTAATGCAAGTGTCGGTGGATGTCGGTGGTGGGAGGATAAACAGAGATTCAACATTGAGAAATATTCACCCAATTAAACTCAGCCCAATTACATCGATTTGCCAGCAGTTGAGCGCCGCACATTCTATGCAAATGGAATTGTCTCATTCTCGTCGCGTCGGTTTCCCTTCTCGCTTTGAGTTCTCGTGCTAAGCGGCAACGTGTGCCCATCAGTAGAACCATCCCACTACAGTCAAACTAAAATAACCACGTCGAGTACATACACCTATTAGCATTTTGTGAAATTGTAAAACCAATTAGATGAACGACAAAGTATAATGTGAGAGTGTGTTTGTGTCTGAGTGTGGCTGTGTGGGTGAGAGTGTGGTTGTGTCTGAGTGTGGCTGTGTGGGTGAGAGTGTGGTTGTGTCTGAGTGTGGCTGTGTGGGTGAGAGTGTGGTTGTGTCTGAGTGTGGCTGTGTGGGTGAGAGTGGGGTTGTGTCTGAGTGTGGCTGTGTGGGTGAGAGTGTGGTTGTGTCTGAGTGTGGCTGTGTGGGTGAGAGTGTGGTTGTGTCTGAGTGTGGCTGTGTGGGTGAGAATGTCTTTGTGTCTGAGTGTGGCTGTGTGGGTGAGAGTGTGGTTGTGTCTGAGAGTGGCTGTGTGGGTGAGAGTGTGTTTGTGTCTGAGTGTGGCTGTGTGGGTGAGAGCCTGTTGTGTCTGAGTGTGGCTGTGTGGGTGAGAGTGGGGGAGCGGTGGTGTAGCGGTCAGTGCGCTGCACTGCGAACCCGCCAACTCGAATTCGATTCCCGCTCACGGCCAACACCAGTGACGATTATCTGAACCGGTCCTGGGCCTCCCCTAGGTCGACTCAGCCTTAGTTGAGTACTTAGTGCTCTGTGTAAAAACAATTCCAGTAGGGAGACAAAGGCGGCCGGGCATGGTGTTGGCCACCCACCCCTCGTGTGCCGTGCCGGCCTTCACAGGGTCTCGCTAACAGCACTTGCCCCAACAGTCTGTTACAGGCTACACGAGGGCTATTTGAGTGTATGCGAGCGTGCTTGTGTCTGAGGAGTGTCAGTGTTGGCACAGTGGGGAGCGCAGGTGGTGCATCTGCCAGTAATCTCAGTTCGTCAACCTACGGCACACATTTGGGGGACCTTTTGTGTAAACTTTCATGAGAGAGTTGTTTGAGATTTGTATCCAAAGCGTGCTCATACACGCTTAGGGGCCGCTTGCTACCGTATCCTTAGGATTATAAGACGCTACGGAAAGTAAAACACACTCACGCACACACCCCTACCGGATCATAAGCCGCATCCCCCAACGTTTGCTTGACAGCACAGACAAATAATGTGTCTCATAATCCGAAGTATACGGTAATAATCCACTGCTGGATGACGACCTCTCCGCGAAGTGCGTATTAGTGAGCACTGTTGGACCTCACCGCGCTCGTCACTGCGAGGCACGGGGCGCATAGACGTGGTGGCATAGAAGTACAATACAACAATTGTTTTGTTTCTGTACTGTCCGTTCTTTTCTGCTGCACACCACGTATGCCAGCAGCCGTAGTACACGTACCTTGTTTCAAGAAAGATGATCGCCCATCCAAGTACTAACCAGCCTCAATGCATGCTTAGCTTACAAGATCTGACGAGCTCGGACACATTTCGGGTGAAATGGCCATCGGCCGATGGCGAAGATATTTTCTAGTAAACCGCGAACAGATCCGCGGTCCCCGTCTACCATCACTGCCCAAAGCCAGTGGTGGGTTTTCCACGTTCTGATGACAGGGACGAGTCCGTCTTCAAAACGACACTGACAACTTCGCTGGACAAAGAGTTGCAGTTTCTGCGGACGGTGCTGATGCTATGAACCACTCGAAGGCGATATTTATTAATTTATTTCACGATTATGAAATGCACCGCGATGATGATGATGGATGATGATGTACTGTAATGAATTGTGACTATCGGATGGCGATGTTTATTGAGCGCGACTCCTAATTGGTGATGAACGCACCACGATGATGGCGGTGGTGCTGTGAGTGCACGGTTAGAGCCACGCTGCACTCGGGGCCACCCATTCAGTAGAGACGCGAAGATCTGTCAACACTTGAGCCCCCCCCCCCTCCCTGTACGCACGCGGACTTTTTACACCCCCCCCCCTCCTGCGTACGTTCGCCTGACGCACCCCCCCCCCCCCCGAATCCTAAAGAACGGCCGATATTTAATCCACGCAGAAACGATCAAGGATCAATAATATTAACGTTTTTAAGCAAACAGATCGTCCACCGCCGGACCATCTAACTCATTTGAAGGCCAATGTAGACACATTATTGTCGAGGCTTCACCCCCCCCCCCCCGTTTCCTAAGCGTACATTGTCAGTAGACCCCCCCCCCCCCATACGCAAGCGAACGCATTTGGGTTAACCACCCTCCTCCACCCTCCATGGATGGCCCCATACGGACCCGACAACCCCATTTCGATTCCCGCTCACGGCCAACACCAAGTGTCGATTATCTGAACCGGTCCTGGGCCTCCACTAGGTCGACTCGGTCTCAATTGAGTACCTGGTGAGGTGTGTAAAAACATCGTCACTAGAGAGACAAAGGCGGCCGGGTGTGATGTTGGCCACCCACCCCCTCGTGTGCCGTTCCGGCCTTCAGAGGTGCTTGCTAACAGCACTTGCCCCAACACTCTGTTCAGGTTATACTCGGGGATCGTCGTCTTTGTCTTTGTACTTGAGCACGACTAACCTATGAATGCAACTGTGACTGGTACATGGTTATAATGATGATGCAATTGAATCTGATAACTGGATGATGATGATGATGATATATTTATTAACTATTCGATGATTATGATTGTGAACATTGAATGATGATGATTATAATCATGACAATGACACACTGGCGCTGATAAATAGCCACGGCAGCAGCGGTGACGACAGCTGACCGCAATTTGAACCCACGCGCCTTCTATCCGGGAGCACTGCTGCTGCTGCGTCTGCTGCTGCTGAATCTGCATGCATTGACCAAACCCACCACGGCACTCAAAAGACAAAGGGTCCCCCGTATAGCCTTCAACAGCCTGTTGGGGCAAGTGCTGTTCGCGAGGAGCACCTATGAAGGTTGTCACGGTACACGAGGGGGTTGAGTGGCCAGAACCACGCCCGGCCGCCTTTGTCTCCCTGGTAGCGATGTTTACACGCCACACGGGGTACTCGTTTGAGGCTGAGTAGACCTAGGGGAGGGCCCAGGACCGCTTCAGACAATCGTCACTGGTTTTGTTGGCCGTGAGCGGGAATCAAACTCGGGTCGCCGGATTTCGTAGCGCACGCAAAGCGCTAACCGCTGCACCACCGCTCCCCCACGCCACGGCACTCACTGACTCGGTTACACGCGGCACTTCAGCTGACATGAGCCACGACTCATTTTTGCAATTCATTAATTAAGCGCCGCTAATAAAATGCAGCAGCCTCGGCCGCTCATTAAT